CCTTCCCGTAACTCTCGAGGATGAATTTCCTGAGATAAAAAAAAAGGATTACTGAAGATGGTTCTCCCGACCAGAAAAAAATAAAAAAAGACGTTGATGGTGATTCTGAGTGACGGCATGCATGCCTGGCCCGGAACATACTGCACAGTCCATTCATTCATTCATTCATTCATTCATTCATTCATTCATTCATTCAAAAAATGGGTGCACAGTGCTAAGGAACCCCGTGCACGTTAAGGAAGGTTCTGTCTCTCGTCTCAGGAGAGGACGAGGCGTGAGGGTGTGCACGAGCAGAGATTTCAGAGGTGCAGCTGAGCCGATGCACGCTCAGGACTCACTTCCTGGCGGGGCAGGCGCCGCGGAGGCCCAGGCTCCTCACGGCCTCACTCCCCACCCGGCCATCTCCACGCAAGGCCATGACGGCTCTGCGGTCCCCCGTGGGCTCCCGCCGGGCAGTGCCGGGGCGGACGGACGACTCAGCCGCGAGCTCGCCCTCACCCCAAGGTGCCCGCCCCGCGCTGTGCACGCCGCTCCCGCCAGCACCTTCTGTGCTTGCCCTCCCCAGCCCGCCGGCCGGGCAGCCCGGGCTTCCGTGCCGGGACCCGCCCCTGCCTCCCCTGGGGGCCGCTCTGAACGGGAGGCGCTCCGGTGTGCCTTTCATGCCGCACACGTGTGTGTGCGTGTGTGTGTGTGGCGCCACTTGACAAGACAGGCTGTGATGCCGGGGAGGGCCGCTCGCTACCGGATGAGGCTGGGTGTCGGGGACCCCGGGCCTCACCTCCCTGGGGCCGCTCGGTCTGTCTTCCTGAGCCCTCCCTGAGCTCCGGGAAGCAGGCTGAGAAACACAGTGGATTTTAGTTGTCCGTTTCTTTCTCTCTCCTTCCTTCCTTCCTTCCTTCCTTCCTTCCTTCCTTCCTTCCTTCCTTCCTTCCTTCCCTCCTTCCTTTCCTCCCTCCCTCCTTCCCTCCTTCCTGCCTTCCTCCTTTACTTTCTCTTTTCCTTTGCTTTCTTTTCCTTCTTCCTTTCCTTTCCCCTTCCTTCCTCCCTCCTTCCTCTCTTCCTTCCTTCCCTCCCTCTCTCCCTCCCTCCCTCCTTCCTCCCTTCTTCCTTTACTTTCTCTTTTTCTTTGCTTTCTTTTCCTTCTTCCTTTCCTTCCCCTTCCTTCCTCCCTCCTTCCTTCCCTTTCTCCCTCCCTCTCTCCCTCCTTCCTCCCTCCTTTACTTTCTCTTTTCCTTTCCTTTCTTTTCCTTCTTCCTTTCCTTTCCCCTTCCTTTCTCCCTCCTTCCTTCCCTCCTTCCTCCTTTCCTTTCTCTTTTCCTTTCCCTTCTTTTCCTTCTTCATTTCCTTTCCCCTTCCTTTCTCCCTCCTTCCTTCCCTCCTTCCTCCTTTACTTTCTCTTTTCCTTTCCTTTCTTTTCCTTCTTCCTTTCCTTTCCCCTTCCTTTCTCCCTCCTTCCTTCCCTCCTTCCTCCTTTACTTTCTCCTTTCCTTTCTTTTCCTCCTTACTTTCCTTTCCCCTTTCCCTTTTTTCCTTTCTTTTCCCTTTCCCTTTCTTTCCTTTCCTTTCTCTCTCCTCTGAGTACCGCTCCCCATTCCCCTACAAGACAGAGACCCCTCCCTCCCCTCCCCTGTCGGGGCCCCCCTGGCTTTGCCGCATGAGAACCACCACCAGATGGGAGGGGAGGGAGGCTTCTCTGCAGGCCAGGAGTGTGGGTGTCATTTCTCCCTGCACGGTCTAGGACTCCAGGGCCCTTTTCTCCCCCACCGTCATTTGTGACACAGCGTCACCCTTCGTGCATGCTTGTTTTTTAATGTCACCAACCCCTGGCTATACCCACAGCATGGTACTGGGGCCACCGAGACAGCAGCCTGAATCCGACATTGCTTTGCTCTGAGCACCTCACAACTGAGGAACCCCCCTGGGGCCAGGGATGCTGAGCAGAGGAGCCCATGACGGGGCAGCCCTCACGGCCCGGGGGGGTGGGCGTCCGGGGTGCCTGTGTGGCCAGGCAGGGCCAACTGGGTAACCGTCTACACAGACACAAATGCATAGACATGGGGAGTACTTAGAGAGATAGGTGCGTGTGCAGATACACAAACACAAATACACACAGAACCATATATACATTTGTCTCTCTCTATATATATATTTCCATATAAAATGCACAGGCAAATAAACACAAACAAATGCACGCACACAAGTACATAGAGAGGAATATGTAGGGAGATGGGTACTTGTGCAGATGCACAACTGCAAATACACAGAGAAACACATGTACATTTATATATGTATATATATAGGTACATATAAAATGCATACAAACATGCACACATGCAAATGCATGTGCATGAAGGAATGCATAGGAAAATAGGCATATAGGCCGGGCACAGTGGCTGACGTCTGTAATCTTAGTACTCTGGGAGGCCAAGGCAGGAGGGTCACTCAAGGTCAGGAGTTCGAGACCAGCCTGAGCAAGAGCGAGACCCCGTCTCTACTAAAA